AGCCCGACGCTGCCCTAACTCCTCAACTTTTTCACCTGCCATTGACACAAGTTTCTGTGGTGTGTCCAACAGACTCAAAATGAATGTTTGCAGATGAAAAAGGCCATGTGGCTCCCAGGCCAGCAAACAACTTCCTAGAGTTGAAGATTGGTCACACCTGTTCCTGGAAGCAGCCTACCCTGCCATGCCGTGCATCCTGCCATGGTCCTTCCCAGAGTCCCAGCTTAGCATGATGTGGCCTGACTAGTTTTTCCCTGTCCTTCCACTTCCTTTCTTTCTCTTTCTCCTTAATGCCCACCCCCCAAATTCCTGTTTGCATCTTATGCAGAGACATTTCATTAACTCTTGGACCAGGTCACGTCCAGAGAACCTCATCATAAACAGACACACACCTGGTGAAGCTGTTCTGAATAATGATCATTCTTTCCTTGAGAAAGTCAGCTCTTTGCAGAGACTTCGGGCCTGTTCACCTGAAGTTATTGAGTCTTTGTATATCTGGGCGTTTAACAACTTCATTTAGCCAGTGATTGGAAGGATAGGGAAGTCCATGCTTCAACCCTGAGCAGCTCCATGAAAGGTATAGATAAGCAGGGAGGGTTGACAAACCAAAGAGTCCAGGCTGAGCAAAACCACTTCCAGGCACTGCTTGCAATATACAAATAACAAGAAAACTAACCCGGCTCTGTGTACCAGCTACTTTCAAATACTCTATCTCAGCCTGATTGGTAAATCTCTAAATTGAATATTATTATTCTCATTCAGGGGAAGAAACTGAGCATCTATCTACACATAGCTAGCATTGGGATTTAAAATTTCCCAGAACAAGTCAGATGTGCAGAAATGTAACTTTAATTCTTTATAACTGAACTCAAATTTCCAAGCCCCTATTTCTGCTGATGGCAGAAAACACTGAATATTTGCACTGAGAAGTTGCTCAGTCACTTCTTGTTTAAAACTGGGTCTCTTTTATACAAAGATTAAATGAGATTTGGGATTCTCTCTTCCCCTTCCTTTCTGTTGATCTGGTGAGTCCTGTTGTACAGATGTTCATGCTGTTCGTCTTTGCTTCCTGGGGGTGCCTCCTGGCTAGGGTTTGGGGAGTGGTCCTCCCCCTTTGTATCCCTTACTGAAGTGCTCCAGTTGGCTGTCCCTCACCTGGTTTCCAGAGAGAGCAAAGCATGGGTGTCTATTGCTGCACCTGGGCACTTGCTGAGGCTGCTAGGACGCCAAGGCTCAGACACTCCTCCATACACTCCTCCTCAGGGACCTTCCATCCACAGCCCTGCGGTGAGGCTCCCTCTCACCAGTATCCTGAAGAGCATGTGGATCCTTAACTCTCCAGAGTTGTGGGAACATTTCTGGGCATCCCAGTGCCCCCACTGGAGCCAAAACATAGTGGAGGAATAGAGGATGTTTCTAGAATACAGTTCTAAGAGACACTATAAGGCGAATGACATTTCCAGTCAAGTAGCTTCCAGAGTAAGTCAAGGAAGCATAAAACAGAGCAGCTTCAAAAGTGCCTTGCTGGGGCTTCCCTGGTGGCGCAGTGGTTGAGAGTCCGCCTGCTGATGCAGGGGACACGGGTTCGTGCCCCAGTCCAGGAAGATCCCACATGCCGCGTCCGTGAGCCACAGCCGCTGATCCTGCGCGTCCGGAGCCTGTGCTCTGCAACGGGAGAGGCCACAACAGTGAGAGGCCCGTGTACCAAAAAAAAAAAAAAAAAAAAAATGTGCCTCGCTCAACAGCAAAGTTTGTTCCAAAGGTCAGTGTTATCTTCGGTTACTGCAACGCCCTTCAGTTGTGTAGTTTCTGAAATTTTAACCACCCACACAAAGAAAATCTTTATCAATTAGGAAAAAGTAAAAAATTATTAAGGTAACATTGCAGATATTAGGTGACCTGATACGAATATATTAAGTCTTTATCAATTTTTAATCAACACGTAATTTTATTTTTCCTGGATTGCTGTGCATGTATTAAGGTTGCTCCCTACTTGCTTAGGAGGTTATTTCAATAACTGGGATTCCTAGCCTAGAATGATCATGGGAAAAATGGAAAAGAAATTACTTTGACAAGTATAGATTGCTTTGGAAAGTGTTGGCCTTTAAATGTCTAGGGGAACAATGTGTGACAGGTCAGATCTTCTACCTGTTTATTAAACGCAAGGTGTAGCAGAAAGACAAACTTCATATGTCATTGGAAACCAAGTATTCTGTGTTGGTCCACTCTTAAATTTTATGTGCTTCTTTTTCACCAAAGGAAAATGTCTAAAATGTCTTTTATATTTTATAGCTATCTTATGTATTTAGATTCTTCTCCACTTTTTGCTTCCAGACAAGTTTGGACCGTACTTGACACGTTGCATAAAGTTTAAGATGTGTCCTACAACTTGTAAGGAAGACCTTGCGAGCAGTGATGCAGTGGTCTATGCATAGAACATGGGTTTAATCATTGAGAACCTTTGTAAGCTTTAATTTGTATAATTTACAGGATATGTCCTTGTGGTCTGTTAAATAGTGAAGAGGATATTTGAGGAAGTGTATATTGTTTGAGTAGGAAAAAGAGGGATGTGGACCATTGATCTGGGGGGAGTTTTTTAGTTACCCTCCATTGTTTCATGACCTGCTCCTCTTAAGCTTTGGAACTGGAGCACCACCAATAAGTGTTAAGCATCCTATCCCTTCACTCAGCAGTGAGCAGTCAGTATTTCATTTTCAAAGTCACAGAGCATGAGAGAGACAAATAGCAGTATTTGTGCTGTGCCAGGTGTCAGCAGGCCTTTCTGGTTCATTATGGTGATGTCTTTCCTCCCTAAATAATTTTTACAAATACACTGATGAAGACAGATTTCTGTTATTTGTCTTCGGTGGGTCGTAAGTTGAACTAGTACTATATTTTTTCCTGAAAACATGCACAGTTGTGACATGGTGTTTAATAGTTTGAGGCTTATTTCTGCCAGAATGAGCACAGCTGAAAGGAATGATGACCCTTTCATCTTTGTAACAATAAAATGGTTTCCTAATGTGTTTCCCTCACTTTGAATGTTAAGTTCATATTCCCCCGGATTTCTGAGCTCCATCTTTTACCCCCTCGGAAACCCCGTGAAGAATACAACTTTGGACCGCGTGACAGAGCACAGAGGATGAAATGAATTGCATTAAATAATGATATGACAAAAAGCCTTTCAAAATCTTTGTCACAATGCAACATTCAAGTAACATTAAACAAAACAGTATAAGTAGGCCACGGAAGAGAGTTCATATCTTGAAAGGAAATTTTGTGAACTAGATCGCTTGCAGATTTTGGAAGAGTCATTGGTGAAGAGCCTTCATGCTATGGCTGGGGATCTACTCTCTAGTCACATGTGCAGTCTTTTCTCGTTTATCAATCTTTGGACCTAAAATTAACTGTTGCAGTGTTTTCTTGGTACACTTGTATGTTTCTCAAAAAAGCAAGTCTTCATTGCTCAAGTTACATTCAAGAAAATCATGGGGAGTGGGGTGAAGAATAAGGTGCACATTTCTATGCAATGTTTCCTGTCTTCCTATTCTAAGTATATGTATTTAAACAACAGCATATATTTTGTAAATTAGTATAAAGATAAACTGTCCTCTAAAAACAGAAAGCAAAGTTTTGATACTGATTCCTTTATTTCTATCACACCTTGGATTTATTTTGTTTCAGTTTATTTTTCCCCTGAAAAATCTGATATTTCTTTTTTTTTTTTTTCTTTTAACTTTAATTCTACCATGTTGGGTTGTGGGAAAATAGAAGCTTCTGATAGGGTTAATCTAGCTACATAGAATTCCATGCTGAGTATGAACATAATCTTGATCTTTGATTAGATCTGAGCTTGTAATATCTTGTGATTAATCAAAATGGGTTGTACTGTGTGTAGTATAAGTCATCTTCACAGATGGGATAGAGTATCATCAGAGTTCTCTTGAATATTTGTTTTAATCCCTTCTAGGATAAAATGGCTTTGGATCTTTTTTTAAACTTTAAGTCAGATTGAGTTCACCAAATAAATGACCAGGAAGAAATATTTTATTTTATTTTTTGGCCGCGTTGGGTCTTCGTTGCTGCACTCAGGCTTTTTCTAGCTGTGGCGAGCGGGGGCTACTCTTGGTTGCGGTGCACGGGCTTCTCATTGCGGTGGCTTCTCTTGTTGCGGAGCACGGGCTCTAGAGCACAGGCTCAGTAGTTGTGGTGCACAGGCTTAGCTGCTCTGCGGCATGTGGGATCTTCCCGGACCGGGGCTCGAACCCATGTACCCTACATTGGAAGGCGGATTCTTAACCACCGCGCCACCGGGGAAGTCCCAAGGAAGAAATTTTGAAGTCCGGTTTTGCTAGGATTATAGGTCAAAAAAGAAGAAACTTGGTTTTTAATTCACAGCATTTCAGTGTTTCACTGAACACACTTCGTATGTTAAAAAGAGTTATCTTGTAAAATTTAACAAATATTCCTATTTATTTGTAGTTTGAATAAAAATCTTCATAAAAGAATATAACAAAACACCCTTCATGGAAATAATGTTGAAGTTCTTGTTCTCAACAGCATAAAAGATTTTTCAAGATTAATAATCTCCCCTCTTCTAATTATGTAATTCCAGTCTAGTTGAAATCTGACAGCAAAGAGCTTTACTTTGGCAACTAAACTACCTGACATCTAACCCCCAGAGCACAGCAAGAGTGCTCAAACACAAAATGTTTACTGAATATGTCTGTCATTTCAGCCAACCATTGGGGCCTCACAAGACACAATTTCTCACAAAAGTTGCTCACCAAAAATTGTAAATTGAACTGTCTGTCCCAGAGCCACACACACTGGAGGGGCTCAGTAAATACATGTTGATGATTATATACGAATCATTGAATAAAAGAACTGAAAAAAAACTGTACAATTCATCCAGTCTACTTCTAGACTGGATTAATGACCCGCAGGTATTAAAATAAGAATGATTTAATTTCTCTCTCCTTTTTTTTTTTTTTCTATAGGAGACCTGGTGAACCTCCATTGATAAAAGGCTGGCTTCCTTACTTTGGAGAAGCCCTGAAATTACAAAAAGATCCCCTAGGTTTCATGACTACTCTTCAAAAGCAGTATGGTGACGTTTTCACTCTTTTCCTTGGGGGTAAGTGGCACTTAAGTTGGGGGTAAGTGGCACAATAAGTTCCTTACTTGTATCATCATTTCTCACTTGTTCTTTAATGTTGTTATATTTTTCTCTAGGCAAAATATGGAATATTTGTACATTATTGTTTTATTTGTAGGCTACTGCAAAAGAAAACTATGTTTTTGAGTACAGTAATCCTCACATTAAAAAACAAAGTATAGAAGTCTCTTGAGGGTCCCTAGGGAACCCCGCTCTCCTGGTATCACCTGTCGTTTGGTCTGGTGTAGCTTACCTTTAAGAATTGTTTCTTGAAAAGCTAGAGTACGTTAATGGACTTGATTTTGTAGAGCAGTTTTAGGTGTACAGAAAACTGATCAGACAGTACAGACAGTTCCCATATATCTCCTCTTTCCCCTGATCATAATTCCCCCTGTTATGAACATCTTATATTAGTGTGGCACATTTGTTGCAACTGATGAGCCGGTATGGATACAACATTAAAAGTCTGTGGTTTTGGCTTCCCTGGTGGCGCAGTGGTTGAGAGTCTGCCTGCCGATGCAGGGGACATGGGTTCGTGCCCCAGTCTGGGAAGATCCCACATGCCGCAGAGCGGCTGGGCCCGTGAGCCATGGCCGCTGAGTCTGCGCGTCCGGAGCCTGTGCTCCACAACAGGAGAGGCCACAACAGTGAGAGGCCCACGTACCGCAAAAAAAAAAAATCTGTGGTTTAGGGGCTTCCCTGGTGGGGCAGTGGTTAAGAATCCTCCTGCCAATGCAGGGGACACGGGTTCGAGCCCTGGTCCAGGAAGATCCCACATGCCACAGAGCAACTAAGCCCATGCACCACAACTACTGAGCCTGCGCTCTAGAGCCCGAGAGACACAACTACTGAGCCCACATGCCACAACTACTGAAGCCCACGTGCCTAGAGCCCATGCTCTGCAACAAGAGAAGCCACTGCAGTGAGAAGCCCGTGCACCGCAACAGAGCAGCCCCCGCTTGCTGCAACTAGAGAAATCCCGCTCGCAGCAACAAAGACCCAACGCAGCCAAAAATAAATAAATAAAATAAATTTATTTTTAAAAAAAGTCTGTGGTTTACACTAGAGCCCACTCTTTGCGTTGTCCAGTTCCTTGGGTTTTAACCAATGCAACATGTCAGGTATCTTCCATTACAGTATCACACAGAATAGTTTCACTGGTCTAAAAAATCCCCTGTGTTCCACATATTCATTCCTCTTCCCCTCGCCCTGAGCCCCTAACAGCCATGGATCTAGAATATATTTTTAATCTAAAAGTATTTGTTATGGTTCAGTGCACAGAGAGCAGTGTGGACCTAAGAATGTTCCACAGCTTTCATTAGCACAGATGTAAATAAAGTAATAATCCTGCTGGTGAAAACAAATATATCTGTTATGGTTCTAACTTCAATAAAATGTTTACAAAACAAGGAAAAAGCACACAGCAGCATCACTACGTAACCCAACATCACTGGGCGCTGAGAAGCTGGAATGTGCTCAGCTCATCCTCCTTCAAGGCCCATGCTCTCCAGCTGTAGCAGCTATATCTCTGGCCACCTAACAAACCTCTCCCAAATGTCATGCCTCAAAACAACAGCTCCTCTGGCCCGGGTCACCTGTGTGGCTTGAGTCATCTGGCTGATTGACTGGGGCTTAAATGGCCCAAGGTGGCCTCATCACATGCCTGGCTGGGCCTCCTTCTCCACATGATGTTTCGTCCTCAAGAAGATGTCCTTATATATGTGGCAGCTAGTACTTCAAGAGGGTGAGAGGAAAATCTGTAAGGCCTCCTGAGGCCTTGGCTCACATGTTACAGAACCTCACTTCCAGACTTAGTACAAGCAAGTCACGGGCCAACCCAGGTTCAAGGCTAGGAAAATAGATTTCCACTTCTTCCTGGGCAGAGTGGCAGAGTCACATTGCAAAGGAGCCCATGTAGAAAGAGAGAAGAAGTTTATCGTGGCCATGTTTGCATACAGTCTTCCACGTCAGTTTATCACCTGGGCTAGGCATCCCTTTTCTTCACTTGTGTCTGCCCTGTCCCGGAAGGCCAATCTCTACACAGTAGATCATCTCCACGCCTTTGCCCTCTGACTTCTGGTTGGGTGTGCAGGTGGAGGGCAGGAAAGCTGTGTTCTAGCTCTCCACCTCTTACCGGTCTCTGTAACACAGTTCACTTTCCTTCCCAAGAAAATTGAAGACATCAGGTATGCTCTCACTCAGATCCCCACGTATCTATCAAATGTTTCACAGTTATCCTTACCACCTCTGCTCCAGTTTCAGAGAATGTTCAAGACAATCCATTTACCTGTCCCCGTGACGCTTACTGTCTCCTCTGGGCTGGCATTACATTATTTCTTCCTCTCATATATGTATCTTCATTATTTTCTCTCTTGGGTCCTTACCCTAAGCTTCTAACCATGCTTAATCTTTCCTGTATTTTCCTCTAGTTAACTTTTCACTTCTGTTTTTTCTCTTTTGCATCTAGATTTTTAAAGAGAGTTACCTACCTTTGCTGCCCCCGGTTGTTTAGCTCCCAGAGGCCTCCTAGCTGTAACCAGCTTTCTGCCTTGCTGAGGTCATTAATGGGCCATCACCTGCCTGGACCTCTCTATCTGGTGGACAAAGCTGATCCCTCATTCCTTCTCAAAACACTCTGTTCCTTCACTGTCTTGACACTGTGCCTCCTGGGTCTTCCACCGATGCTGAGCATTCCTTATCTGGGTCATATTTACACGTGCCTCTTTCTTTGCTCAACCCCCTTTATCTTTCTCTAACAGTCTTTGGAATTTTATGTTCTATGCCTAAAGAATTTAGATAATTTCTTCGTACTGTAATTATGTTGCCAAGTATCTGAAGCAACCTTTTGTACATAGAGCAACTTCACTTTTGTGCTACCATTTCCATGTCATTGGGAGGAAAAAAATGATCCAACTGGATGAAATGGTCAGCATGGTCAGTTTCTCACAGGAATAGGTAGTATTTGTTTCATTGCATCTTACCCCCTTGGCTGGCAACTGGCAAGTCTCTTCCAACAGTAATTATGTGCACTCTGATTTCAGAAGAATTGAAATGGAAAAAAAACCATGTGTCTTAGAAACAGAGACATTGTAGTGTATCTGGTGACCCTCATGAGGCTCTTCAGGGTCAAGGCTCCACCTACCTCTCCAGCCCCGTCTCTTGCTACTATAATGCACCATTAACACACCAAATTGTTGGAATTTCCTCCTCATATACCATGTCCTTTTGTGCTGCTTTTTTCTGTTGTGGTTCTTTCTGCCAGAACGCTGTTCTTCTGTTTCTCAGTCGTCCTTGAAAGATGCCTGACGTGGATGCATCTTTTGAGGCCATCGTCACGTATCACTTCCTCCCAAAGTCCTTCACTGACCATTTCCCTCCCCATGGTGTGTTTGATGCCTCTTTTCCAGGCTCCAATTACTCCTAGTATAACTTCTGTCATGGCATTTAATAAATTGTGAGTGTATTGCTAATTCACTTGTCTATTTCCCTTCATTGTTTTCTAACTTCTTTACTGCCAACATTTAGTTCAGAGCTCAGCACTGATTGATTCACAATAAATATTCGATAAGGAAATTCCCAGTACCTTAGAGCTGATGAAATACTTACTATAATACAAATAAAGGCCATAGCTGGGGCTTCTATTCTAAGTGAGCTTTTGGCTTCATAATACAAAACTGTATTCTTCACTTAAAAAAGTCACTCTTGGGGGGAAATAAATTAGGAGTTTGGGATTAATATATATACACTACTATATATAAAATAGATAATCAACAAGGACCTACTGTATAGTACAGGGAACTCTACTAATTATTCTGTAATAACCTATGTGGGAAAAGAATCTAAAGAAGAATGGGATGACCCAGCAATCCCACTACTGGGCATATACCCTGAGAAAACCATAATTCAAAAAGAGACATGTACCACAATGTTCATTGCAGCTCTATTTACAATAGCCAGGACATGGAAGCAGCCTAAGTGTCCATTGACAGATGAATGGATAAAGAAGATGTGGCACATATATACAATGGAATATTACTCAGCCATAAAAAGAAACGAAATTGAGTTATTTGCAGTGAGGTGGGTGGACCTAGAGTCTGTCATACAGAGTGAAGTAAGTCAGAAAGAGAAAAACAAATACCGTATGCTAACACATATGTATGGAATCTAAAAATAAAAAGGTTCTGAAAAACCTAGGGGCAGGACAAGAGTAAAGACACAGACGTAGAGAATGGACTTGAGGACACGGGGAGGGGGAAGTGTAAGCTGGGATGAAGTGAGAGAGTGGCATGGACTTATAGATACTACCAAACGTAAAATAGATAGCTAGTGGGAAGCAGCTGCATAGCACAGGGAGATCAGCTCGGTGCTTTGTGACCACCTAGAGGGGTGGGATAAGGAGGGTGGGAGGGAGACGCAAGAGGGAGGAGATATGGGGATATATGTATATCTATAGCTGATTCACTTTGTTATAAAGCAGAAAGTAACACACCATTGTAAAGCAATTATAGTCCAATAAAGATGTTAAAGAAGAAAAAAGAAAACAAACAGAAAACCAGTTTCACTTGTTATCTTCATCTTAGATACTGAGAAGCTTGCTGAATTTCTCATGTCTAAATAATTTGGCCATGGCTATCTTTTTAAACTCAACAGTAGACAGCCATAGTTGAATACGAACTGCTACTTCCCTTTAGCTTCTTCCTAGAGTTTGAATAAATTCCTGTAAAAAATCCTTATTATGTATGTGGTTCTAATGATCAGTTTGCAAAATAGCTCATTTGGAAAATGTGAATGAGGAACAGCGTCTCCCACCGTTGTCCCATGATGTGAGTTCAGTGCGTGTATGTTTCTTGCGTGATGAGCAAATGATTGTCATCCCCAAAAGTCTCAAGGGACGTGGATGTCATCTTAATAAAGAAATTAAAAGGTACATCTTTTCATGAGAAACCACGTAAATTCGTGACCTGTCGCAGAAAATAGTTCTCTAATTGGTTTTGTGTGGTGGTGCAGCGGAATCGTTTTCCCTAGATGTCACCCCAGCGAAGCACCACTGTACATCACTGTCAACAGCTAGCGAAATCTCGCTGATAAGAGGGGGAGGATAACGTGGTCATCCTCATAAAATAAAAAGTTGGTTCACAGTCCACTCTTCCAATGAATATTTTCAGCTTGACATTTAAAAAACGTCTATTGAAGAGCCAGCTAAACATGGAGATCAAAAGGTTATAGTTATGGAAAATTTCTTTAAAATTCCAATTTATCTCATATTTCTTGACTGGGCATTTCTATTTCAAATAGTCAAATAGGTGTTCTGAATTCTCTTGGATGTGTTTCTGCACCAAATATCTGAAATGAAAGCATCAAAATTCAGGTTATAATGACCCAGATGTCAAACTTCTTGTGTATAAGACATCAAAGTGACTGATGTGTTGTTTTTTTTTTAACATTTAGTGACATACTTGGCATCACGTAGCTTCACCTTCCTAAAAGAAGTAATTTTGAAGGAAGTGAAAAGGCTGTTGAGTTAGTAAACCATCGTATGCAGGTTATTCAGGAATGCTGGGGTTAATATCTTAAGGCCCAGCCAGCTCCTAAAAAAGGAAGACAATGAAATTATTGGTAAAGAATACATTAAAAATTTTGACCCCATTTCAAATTTACTGCTCAAAAGGATGGTTTTATATATACGTATACTTTTTTGCAAAAGTGAACCTCGTTTTCACATTTATATTTTAGACGAATGCAAACTCTGAAATTCTTTAAATCAATGTATCACATCAGCTGCTGATAGCTTTCTTCTCCCTTCTGAAAACACAGCAAAGGACATTGTTTCTATCTTGTGATCTTTGTGAACTAGGCAACTTGCCTGTTGACACGTGGCATTCATTTACATAAAACCACACTGGAACAAAAGTTATTTTTGCTCAAGAATCCATGGCCTTTAGAATAACTTTTCAAATTTCCTTTGTTAAGAAATTTAAATTCATTTTATGAATGTATATGTGTTTTCCTAACTGTCTTATTAAAGATTACAAAGAAACTCTGGTTTTGCATCTCACGTTAGCAGATGGTGGACAGATGGTTTAAATTAATATTAATTTTGGAAAACTTAGCTTAAATTGTTTATACTGAAGATTAAAAGTTGGAAAGCCAGCTAGCATCTCCAGTGTTATTAGTACTTCCAAACCCACTCAAAAAGTAAAATCCAGAAAATCAAAAGGTCTTACTCAGCAATCCACATCTTATTCAGATGAGTCAGTAAAGCGTAATGCCTTGATGTTAAAGAAAATCAAAATAAGAATGAGAAAAAGAAAATACAGATCCCGGAGTGTAAAGAGTCTTGAAAAGAGTGAGAATTTTATCTACAAATTGCTTTAAACTCATCAGTAATGATTTTTTAAAAGAGCCTGTATGCAACAAACTGTTTATTAAAAAAATATTAAAATTGGTTGCTAACCAGACACAGTTTTCTACATTTAGCTTTTACTGTTTTTATTTGAAATTAACCTCATAGTTTCTTCCCATATCCTTACCCCCAAGGTGAGATAGAGAAAGAGAGAGAGAGGGAATATATGTGTAGTTTTGATGAATTCTAGATAAAGACTGTAAAGTCCATGAAGCCTCTACTTCAGTAGGCCAATAGCCAGTGGCTTCTGTTGCCATGGCTGGATAGTTTTGCCTTTCCACTTAGATTTTGATGAATATAGAAAATTGGTCAGAAAAAAATTCAAAATATTCTCTAGAAATTATGTTTTACAGACTGAGCCTTTTATATATTCTCTGAATTTTACTGACTAATTTAAAATAACTCTGTAAAGACATTTATAAGCAAAATCCTTTTGTTTAGTGAAAGGAGAAAAGTATGAATCACCACCTGTGAAAATACACAGCCTTGCCTAAAATTATATCTTTTGCAAAGTAAGAGAATTCACTCTTTTTTCAATTATTTGTCAGGCAGATGCTGGCAGTTTTATTTAATTAAGCTGCCATGGTAAAGCAGGTGTCATAAAATATGCCCAAATCCAATTGATTCCTTTTTCTTTCTTCTCCGGGGAGGGGGTGGGGGGCAGAAAATCCAGTTTACTTCGTAGATACAGCTTTAGGGTCTGACCAGAATGAGTAGTCTCTTCTAGCTTTACCCTCACTCCTAGATTGGCCCACCTTATTAAATAAAAGGGGAAAGAGAGTGGATACAATTCAAGTCATACGATTTATTTTTAGAAAAAGAATTATAGCACATCTATTCATGTACACTAAAAACTTAAACTCTGTTTTACAATTGTAAAACAAAAAAACATTTATCCTGTTTCTAGGATTAGGTTGAAAATTATTCAAAACTTTATCCTAAATCTGGTACCAAATTGAATTTAATTTCTGTGATGCTGTTTGAGTTACTGTAAATAACAAGCGAGAAGTTGTTCATCTAAGAAAGCTTCACGCGCACACACACACACACACACACACACACAGGAATGATGAGGTGAAGAGCTAAGTATAGATGATTCGACAAACTCTCATGTCTAATTATTTACTGTTTTCTAGAAGACAAATAAGTGTTAAAGTTGTAGGATCGTCGAAATTTCATGTGTGTTCTTGGAAAGGGAAGACTTATTAATGCGAGCATTGAATACTGCCTACATATTATCTCTAATTAGCAGGAGTCTTAAAGCAGCCCTCCAGTGAGAAGGAGTCAGCACCGGCTAAGGAAAAGAACAGTGCATGGGGACTGTCTTCTTGTCTAGGCTCTGCCACTAAAAATGGTGGCATGATCTTGGCTCTTAACTTCTCCTGACTTTCTTTAGCTGATAAATGCTGGAGAGGCTGCAACTAGGAATCTCCAAGATCCGTGCCAGTTTGGAGAGACAGACCACAGTATGACTCTGTTCCTCAATGTGCCTTCTTATAAAATCACTTGAGGGACTTGTAGGTCCCACCTTCAATCCTTCTGAATCAGAATCAGGAAGGAATCTGTATTTTTAACCAGTACCCTAAGTCTGGACTGATATATGAAAATGCCAAATGTCACCTCCTCAAAGAACCCTTGTTGATAACTCCAGGCAGACCGAAGCATATCTCACTTCCTGTTGCCCTTACATTGTGTTCCCACCTCTGCTCTATTACTGTCCATAACAATACAATGGTTCATTTACATCTTTATCTCAAAAGGAAAGAGATCCAACCAAGTATCTGGATGTCAATAAATGTTGAATGCATGCATGAATGAATGGATGAAAGCGTGATTGGATGGGTTCTAGTTTTGAAATCCTCTTTCGGTCACAAATCAATATGAGAGTTTGGACGTGTTACTAAATCTCCCTGAGCTACTATTTTCTCATCGATAAAATGAAAACCTTGGTGTTTGTGATTTGTTGTTAGTGTTGAATTAGATGTTCATTTGTGAGTACCTGCTTCGTACCACATCTTCATTTATTTGAGTTAAAATTATTGTATCCAATCAAAGCTAAGATAACACCAAGCATGAAAAAGCTCTTTATGCAGTGTAAGTGATCAGTAAAGGAGTAGCATCTTACCAATTTGAGTTGCTTGTTTGTTTTCTGATTGTATTATTGGGGAAAAATATAAGAGGTGTTTAAGTAATGAATTTTGAGACTATTTAAAAGATAATTTAAATATCTTGGTAGTTTGTTAAAATAAAAATTTGAAGAATAAACTATCTTTTTGAAAGTCATTAAGAATTTCAGAACATTTAACTTCAAGCTTCTAGCGTTTTCCCACAATCTTCCATTTTAAAAGGAAATATGTAGTGGAATTTTGAATCAAACAGATTTTTATTGTACTTTACATCTTTTGAGATGTGAGTTATTAAGGTCTTTCTAATTTTGATTAAGATATTCTCAAATTTCAGATATCTTGTTTTGTTTTACTACCACATGAATTCATATTCTCATTTATTTCTTTTAGGAAATTACATAACGTTTATCCTGGACCCTTTCCAGTACCAGTCAGTGGTAAAAAATCAAAAATTAAGCTTTCAAATGTTTACTAGTAAATTCTTAATGAGAGTATTTTCTGTCAAAAAGATGATGACATATCATGACCTGAACGACAAGATTCATACTAGCTATCAACTTTTAAGAGGGAAGCATTTGGACACACTGATGGAAAACACAATGCAGACTCTAAAACAAGTTTTTGAACCACAGCTCTTAAAAACCACAAGTTGGGACACGGAATATTTGTTGACATTCTGCAGCTCAGTGATATTTGAGGTGACATTTACAGCCATACATGGAAATGTTCTCTCTGGCGATAGGAAAACATTCATGACTGAGTTAAGAGATGATTTTTTTAAATTTGATGGCAAATTCACACATTTAGCATCAGGCATACCCATTGAGCTTCTAGGAAACATCAAGTCTATTCGAACGAAACTTATAAAACAATTGACAACAGAAAACTTAGCCAAGTTACAAGGATGGTCAGAAGTTGTTCAAATGAGGCAAGATATCCTGGAGAAATACTATATGCCCAAGGACACTGAAATAGGAGGTAAGAAACTTCTGAATGATGACTTGTCTAAAATAAAATAATTTACAGTAGACCTTTGAAATAAAAAGACAAAATGGTGACCTTGAGAATTTTTATGCTCTTTCTAATTGGCTAATGATAAAATGTTTTACTCTGAAACAACCCTTTGTGATAATTGATTTTTTTTTTTTTTTTTTTTTTTTTTTTGCTGAGATGCTAATGCAAGATACTTAACAGGGATAATGAGAAAGAGTATAACTAAGCTGCATTTACTCCTCTTATCTCATCCCCCCTCCCCTCCCCCACCACACACACATTACATTTTAAACTATTCTCATTAAGCAGAAAATTAGACTTCAGAAGCCTATTGGTCCTCATTAGCATGCACTGATCCTTGGCTGGGTCTGTGTCCTAACATCTTTTAATTAGCACACTGCAAATCTAATCAGTGTAATAAACGCTATTAATCTTCCTTTTCACTTATTTTCTCCCAGCACATCATTTAGGCTTGCTCTGGGCCTCTGTGTCAAACACTGTTCCAACTATGTTCTGGACGATGTATTACCTTCTACGGCACCCAGAAGCTATGGCAGTGCTGCGTGACGAAATTGACCATTTGCTGCAGTCAACAGGTCAAAAGAAAGGGCCTGGATTTTCCATCCACCTCACCAGAGAACAATTGGACAGCCTGGTCTACCTTGGTAATTTATTTTTATCTGTTATGAAGAAAAGAAGGTATCTCTCTGCAAAGTCAGTTTATCACTCAAAGCTGTTTACCAAGAGGTGGAGGACACAGCTGCCTAATTGACATAATAACACCCATTTACATCAATTATAAATTATGTAGTTTATAGCTGTAGATACTCTCATTGCATGTAAACATTAAGGCCTAGGTAATTAACTATGTAAGGTATGCAAAAGGCTAAACCAAAGCTTTGCAATTATTTGAAAAAAAAAAAGGTTTATGCCTGTTAAGTCACTAGACTCTGAGCATCTGTTGGTGTGTTAATGCTTTCCAAACGATGCTGGGCTATCTTAACAAGAAAGGTATTCGGGATTAAAAAAGAAAGTATTTCAGACAGACAACTTGTGTGCAAAACACACTTATTCTTCCCTCAAATGGTGTCCATATTTTCAGGCAGAGATTAAGATGTATTATACAGTTTGCAGCGTATGATTCGCAAAAATGTAGTAAGAGTGATTTCCACTGGAAGTTCATGATTTAAACACACTTGGGGAAGAAAAAAAAAAAAGGAGGGAAGAAAGGGAGGGAGTGAGGGAGGGAAAAGAAAAAGCCACAGCTACAAATTACTTCATGTGAAATGTCAATATTTTATAAAATAGTCACTGGTTCATGAGATATGCATGGTCACTATTTCAAATACGTTTGAGGTCAGAAGTGACTAAGTTGCTTTTCTTTTTCTGTGTAGGCCTGTGTGCCTGTAACAGTGAGCTTTTGATAACAGTGGATTCGCCTTTTCCGGTTTTGATAAGACGACTCTCATTATGTGAATGAATTTTAATTCCCAAAGTTAAATTCCAGTCCAACGAGTTATTCTCTGCTTTGTCTGTGTTGACGTTTCATCCTGTGGTTTCTTTTACTATACACTATTCCAGGGCCCTTCGGACAAATGCAGGAGCAAGTCTTTATATATCTCTGTTGCTCCCCTCGTTTGACAATGTAGGCAAGTATCTTAGCCCATGTTGGCCTCAATTTTCTCCCTTTTAAATATGTTCCAGGTTCTTTGATGGGAACTTCTGGGAGCAAAGGCCCTACAGGTCTTGATCAGTGTTGACCACCAGCTGACATTAAGAAGAATGGCCCCAAGTATTCCGGAGGTTGTTCCCACTGGTTAGGATAAGACCCATCAAAGGCAGTAGCAGGAAGCTTGCCTTGTAGTGACAGTTGGCTAGCTTGTTCAGTCATGCCGTTTTTAGCATACGTTATCAAAGTAATTTTATTTATTTTTTTTATTGGAGTATAATTGCTTTACAGTGTTGTGTTAGTTTCCGCTGTAGAACAAAGTGCATTATCAAAGTAATTTTATATTTGCTTGGAGAAGGAAAATAATCCCAGCATTATTAAAATACAAATATTATTTTATTTTGCTTTTCAGAATGACTGGGGACCAAATGCACAAACTTTGCATAAAGTTCTGGGTAGTTGCTTTCACGTAGACACGCAGTATTTTCTGGGTAGAAGATTTATGGTTCCTATGAATATCAAGGTTTCATCTCCCATTTATTCAAGTAATTTCAATTGCATTTTATGAGTCAGATACTACAGGGACGTAAAGCAAATAAACTTTAAGGAATATGTGTTTGTATTCGGAACACAGTTATAAACTCTTAAAATTTAGTTGAAATTCATCAACTCTCTTTTTACTCTTAACTTCTCACTATTGAAAGAAAAGACCATTTTAAAATTGTGGTATTAAAGCAGACACGTTTAAATTTATTCAAGCTGAAGAAATGGCAGGTTCCAGAGCCGTAATCCGGGTCCATTTAAGTCCATCACTAGAGTAGAGATTTTCATCCAGGAGCCCTCAGACATTTACAGCTCACTTATCATCAACAAATGACCATCACCAATCCCAAGTGCCTGGAGATCCACCTGAGTACAGGAAGCACCTTCAGCAATCTAGAAGGTAGACCCCGTTCATCACAACCTCGGGTACCAGCAGAGGCCAGTGTTGTTCATTACGAGAATTGAATCTTCTAGATAATAGGGTCCACTTTTTTTCTTTCTCCAGATAGACAGTTTGAAGCAATGTCTATCAGATTGCATCTTCAATGCAGATTGAAGCAAATTTTTATACGAATCAGACTCATAACAGATAACCTCTGCATCTAGTCATAGCTCTATCGTATTTCTCTCTATCAAAAGGGTATGAACTATATGAGGAAAGGCAAGATTTACAGAATTAAATGTGTACAGTGCACTGCATGGGGTGAGTGTATGTGCATCTCATCTCCTTAAAGAAAGAGTTCTATGTATTCTAAGTACAATTTCTTTAAAGAAAGATATCTTGAATTTTTATTATTATAAGAAGAAAGTTCACAAGGATGAAAGGACTGCTGCATTTTTTTTTAAACCAGGAAGGAGAATTTTGATATTGGTAGAGCAAACAAAGGGAAAGGAGTTTTTTTTTTACAGAGATTTTGCATGTCATCGCGCATCGATAATAAAGCGAAGTTGGAAAGGAAAGTTAGAATGCTGTAGAAACCAGTATGTTATTCCTAAACAAAAATGATTTCTCTCGTTTAGAGTGATCCTTGAAGACAGAGCCCGAGGGGGCATAGGCTTAGCGTGATGTGATCATCGTGCACATATTATTGACACTCGTGGCCCAATCCTATAGGCCTCGCGTGTGTCAGATTTACTCTGACATCAGTATACACACAACATCAGCAAAACTTAAAACGTGTAGCATCAAGTGGGCTTTTAAATATCAAGCCTGTTAACGCAATGCAAAGCAGTCGTCCGTTGCAAGAGGCTGTGATGGATTTTATGCTTTTTTCCATCTTTCTTTACAACCATTCTACCCGTTTCTTTTAGATAAAGAAAAACACAACTATATTGTTTTAGATATGGAACTTGTTATAAAGATTCTGCGTACCATGTCCTCACTAAAATGGAATATCAGTGTTTAGTAAAGGTCTCTACAATTAAATATAAATTTAGAATAAGACAGTATATACGGTGGGGTTCAGAGAACTGTTACTTGGGGCCTAAATTTCCATAGGAAAAGTTGCTGATAGAATGAAAGTTTGAGAAACTAAAAGAAAAGTAAGAATGTTTTTGTTTTCCCGGAAAGAAGAACCTGGGGTAGAGGTAGGACTTAGAACTACAGGTTTCCAATACAGGAAAAAGAAAAGTAGAAAAGTTGATTCAGAGAGAATATAAGAGAAAAAGATAATGTGAGAAGAGAAAGTTCTCAAAATTGAAGTTTTGATAAATGGGTAGCAAATAATCTCATTGAGTACTACTTCTTACTTCAAGATTTACCTGAAAAATGTATTTAAATAACTTAAAAAGTATGGGTTCAGTAACTGTTGTCTATTGTTATCACCAAGATGATGTTTAACCTCAGTGGCATCCCTATGACGTTTATGTTGTTTTCTTTATTTTCAATTATTTACGAACCAAGCTGGCATTATCATTAGATATAGTTCATGTTAAATATATTCATGACTTCAATATTTCAAAGCAATTTTATGGACTTTTATTGTTTCATATGATCTTCTTTAAGATACTGGGGGACCTGGGGAACTATTATTTTGTCATTTTTACAGATGAGAAAATTCTCAGGGTGCTAAATAACTTGGCTAATAAGGTCATGGAGGTAAAGGAGAGAAGCAGGATTTTAACTTGGGTTTTCTGGCCACACTCACGCTTTTCCCCTCAAACCTATCTGATACCAGAATTTTTTGAGTCTTTTTTCATTGTCCAAACAGAGAGGGGAGAGGAGTTCTTTGTATCTTGATTCATCAATGCTAGCTGTGATATGCACATGATTAGATCAGAAAATGTGGGCTAGATGGTATAGTGTTAACTGTATTCTTAATTTCAGGATGAGACATTATGATAATATTCATAATTATTATTTTACTATGTATCAGGCTTTTATTAGCTTATTTAATGATCAAGTACTGGCTTATATATATATATATATATATATGTAAGTACAAGTATAGCTTATCTAATCCTCAAGTATTATTATCTTCATTTAATTGTTACGTAACAAGGTGCAGAAAGATTAGTTAACCAACCCAAATCATACAACTAGATAGTGGCAGAGCCGGAAATTGATGCTGGCTCTACCTAACTTCAGCGCTAACGTATAAATGTTGTCAACTCAGGGGAAAATGCCCTAGAAATGTACCAGAGACCTTGCCCATTATATTTTACAAGGATATAGATCACGAATTCTCAAACGCAGTTGGGTTTGAGGGTGAGGTTGGGGCTAGAGGTTCACATCAGAATTTTGAGGGTTTTTTTAAATAAACTTTCTATTTAGAATAGTTTTACAGAAAAGTTACAAAGAGAGTTCCAGTATATCCCCCCTCACACACACACACACACACACACACACACACACACACAGTTTGCCTTACTATTAACGTCTTAGTGTGATGTATTTGTCATAACTGTGGGTGTTATTTTGAAAAAGCTCATTCAATATTATAAAATAATTGTGTATTTGAAAAATTAAAAGTGTCTATAATTTAGACAGCAGTAGTAAAGTTTAACAAAATCCTCTCTTCCAGTGGGGATATACAGGAGGTAAAATTCTACTTCATGTTAGAAATTTCTAACTGGGGGAGGAGAGAGAGGTATCTCCCACAAAGCGTACACCAGAAATCAGGTAGTGAGATTTTTATACGTAACATAAGGAGACATTGGTTAAAAAGTGAAAAATACTAATTTGGATGTTTGTCAAATTTTCAGCTCAGCACTAAACAAAGAGGGCTAGATAATATAATGAATGGCAGCAACAGGAGTTGAAAGGATTGAAAGGGAAATTTAATAAGAATTCAAATTATTGTACTTAGGTCTAAAAATCAACTGCGTAAGAACAGAATGAGGAAATGTGTGGCCCAGCAGAAGAGGGTGGTTCTCAACCTCCGTTGCTCATTGGAATCATCTCAGGAGCTTTAAAAAGTACTCAAACCACCCCCAGAGGTTCTGATTTCATTGGTCTGGGGTACAGGCTGATGGCGTTACAAGCTTCCAAAGTGACTCTAATGTGTAACCAAGGTTCAAAACCCCTAATTTAAAGGTTTTAGTTAATGCAGTGGTTCTGATGCTATTGGCCGGTTATGGAACATTTATTTTTTTTTAAACCACCTCGGTGATTGCAATGAGCAGTCAGAGCTGATCACCTATAGGATATCAGAAAGCTTAACACAAGTCCATGGAGAGATATTACTTCAAAAATCTGTTGCTCATCTGCTTCCAACGAAATATTAATAGAAGTGTGGTATCTAGGGCAGAGAAAGTAGTTCCTCTCTACTTTTCCAACTGAAATAGCACACCCAGCTCTGCCACATTTTAAGAGGCATATTGACTAATTGAATTGAAGACTAAAGGCCATATCATCTCTGATGGACAATTAAAAAATGACATGATAGTTGTCTTTAAATATTTTTAAAGGGCTGTTATGTGGAAGAGAGATTCAATTTTTTTGCCTTTGTGTCTTCTAAAGGGTGGAAATTTAAGGGAGGAAAATTCAGCTCAGTACGAAAAATAACTTGCTACTAAAATGGACTTTCTGAATGCCATCATTGGAGTTATCCAATCAAAAATGGAACAGTATCTTCACTAGGATCCTGGAGAGCATTCCTGTATATATGTACCTTCCGACTTAATACCTAGATTGTAGTGTGCGTGAAGGCCAAATCCATATTCTCTGTTCTCTTTTTCCACCAACAGCAGTGGCCCAGTGCCCTGAGCAGAGAAATTCCTTAATAGTGCATTTATTGACTCTGTGAATGTTGAATTTACGTTTGTGTATTTTAGCAGTAAACCAAAAGCCGTGCCTGCAGCGCAGAGTGAAAGTAGGCATTCGTACCAATTCAGATTTGCTTTTAACTTTACTTAAAATACACAGTTGTCGAGCCAAAGAGTAGTTATTTGGCTTCAAATTGGCTGATGACCACAGTGCCTTATTTACCGTCTCACCTGTCTCGAAAGTGGTTTTGTAAAAACTCGCCTACACATCTGGAGGCTCACTCTGTTTCCTCACCCTCACCCTTCTAGCGCACACTGCCTCCAGAGCCCCCTTTCCCTTTCCTGTCCGCCTTCCTTTTTCAGACCATCGGCGTGTTCAGCCCCCGTCGACTGCAGCAGGGTCTGGCTGCTCATTTCACTGCAGCCACTGCCGCTATCCACTGATCACCATGGCTAATCAGATGGTGTGACAGTCTGCACCAATCATTAAGATGACCCAAATTAACAGTCTGGCCATGTCACAGTACATTCATTCCACATATCCAGACGTGGCCTAAGTGTGAGGCAGAAATTTGGATGTGCTTATTTGTGGTTGCGTTGTAACATGCATTATTGATTGTCATGAACGGCTTCAGCTCTTTAAATCTGCAAATGAGAATCATCTGTCAATTAGTACAGCCAGCATTGAGCTATGAGGGCAGAAGAGAGAGTGTATATATTCCTTTTTCTACCAGCATTTCCTCTCCTTTGCCATATTCCTTCCCCGTCACATTATAAAGCATCTTAGCTCAACATACTCCCCAGCTTTTTGCTTAGAAGGGATACTTAATCAGAATATTTTTATATCCTGCAAAGAGAAACAAATCTCCCTGGCCAAGTGAAGAAGACAGGGCAGGCTTTGAATTGTAAGTTCACTGTGGGAATTCTGTAATCCAGTTCCCTGGTGATACTAGTCAGTAAAGTTCACTTCTTAATAAAACACAGGCAGCCTTATCTTAATCACAATTGCAATTGTTGGCACCTTGCAGTGCCTGGTGTAAATTACCCCCCAAATATTTGCATTCTTGATAGCCATTTTTCTACAATGCGTTTAGTAAGTAGAGGGTCCTATTACCTGCTAAATGTAAGTATAAATTAACAACCCATTATGCACAAGTTTTATAAAACATTTACAGATAGAGATCATGTTTAATTAAAATTAACTTGCATATGAAAGCCAAGTGCACTAATGATCACAATGACCTTTTATTACCTGCAGTCCCTTGTTTTGGCTGGAATGATTGACAGCTTGCTGTTTGGCTACCATGTTGAATTTCAGCTGACAAGACTTTTCATTTTAACTCAATTTGCCCGCCTATCACAAGCTGGTGGCAGGCCAGACCCAAGTCACCCAGCTTTGCCTCAGCAGCTTGCTCTAGTTCTCATTAGTACGCATTTATTCAGTGGAAATTGGAAGACAAATGCTTGAAGGCATGTGAACTAAGTATAGCAAATTAGGTTTAAAGACTGAATATTTATAAGTGTATGGAAAGTTTTTTTTTTTTTTTTTTAATTCTAGAGCGAATTGAGAACTGAGTGCTAGCTTTGGTATAAAAGAAATGAAGATAGAAGGGGGAAAGAAGATTCTAAGAATAACAATACTATCAGGTTTTTCTTTCCATTTTGGAAATATGTAAAATCTCTCTGACAACACCTTATCAAACCAACCTGGCCTCTCTTCCGTGGAGTGCTTGCACAAGGAAGTTTAGCACCTCGAGTGTGAGAAGGGGGGAAAAAATGCGGGTCATGTTCATCTGTTGCTTGGTTATCCCTTGGTATGTTTTCAATTGCCTTGTTTGTTCGGCACTAGCACAGAAACAGATGTTGCTCCGCCATGCAGGGTAATTTACTGTGCAGCATGGAAGGCCTCCCAGGGCCCAGCTGGTCTGTCAGTGGCACTGGCTGGTGTCTGCTCAACTATGACAACTACAAGTAGAGGCTGCAATTTTTTTTTTATTGTGCAGTTGTCATTCTTCTCAACGTATATATAGCCCTGCCTGCATTCTTCCTGGAGCTGGCGGCAAGGCTGTGGCTTTTGTGTCTGTACGTTGTAACGCAGAGCCACGGAAGCTCCCCTCTCCTTTGTGGATAATAATGCCACTCATTCCTTTTGTCCTCCGATGATTCTCAACATGATCGCTGCGATCCAGAGCCAACCTCGTCTCGCGCACATAACCGGTCCTGGAAGGTAAAACAGATTTGTCATTTATGACCTGACCGCTAAGCCACACTTTGTGCTCCATTATTGTGATTAACTTCTGCATAAGATACGCTTGCCCAATTGTCATTTGTGATACCGCAGTGGGCGCAAGCTGCCACACTTCCCGCGAGCACGTCAGCCAATGGGATGTGACCGTGTTATTCGGATGCCTGCCCTGTCACAGTGGCCACCCCACAATTATTTTGCTTTTGTATTTCTTCTTCCCACACCACTCCTGGACCTGGTGGGTGCACAGCACTGCTGCATATGTCAGCTACCATTTCACACCACAAGCTAAAATGATGTTATGCTGCTGTTGATTCAACATGAGCCAGCAGCAGTACACGGGAAGCTGACCCTTGCTTTTCACCATAGAAATGTTGGTCGCTTGTGTCCTGCCAGCTGAAATCCGTCGTGTCAGGTGCCTTGTGGCTATCTGCAGTGGAGTCCATGTTCCAAAACCAAAGTTCTTTTCTGGCCCTGTCACCAACAAACCGATTTGACTCTTCCTGATTATAATAACGAAGGCAGTCCAGAAGAATATGCACAGCCTCACTGTACGTCATATCGAATCACCACACTGGCCACACAGAGCTGACCGCAGCCTCATTTCTTTAGACAAATGAATGCTTAGGGAGAAACCTCCTGGGAGAAGGTCCCCAAAGCTACTTGATAGCCCTATGCAAGATGTGCATAGATTTCAATTTGGGGGAAATAGAATTTATTTTTATTTTTTGCCTGATGCAAGCCCTCACTGACCTGCCCGCCTCTGTAATCTAATAATTGGTTATTCTACATTTCAGACCTTTGCTGAACACTAAGAAACTGGCCTCTGTGTGTGTGTGTGTGTGTGTGTGTGTGAGAGAGAGAGAGAGAGAGAGAGAGAGAGAGGCAGAGATTCTAAATTGCAAGCCATAAATACAACCATTTGTTACCATGTGAAGGGGGAAAGAACGCTCAATTTGGAGCTCTTTTTTCGCATTGCTGATTAGAGAGAATCAAGCTTTTTCTTCTAAGACCCATTCACGCTGGTGAAAACATAGTCAGTTTTGATTATGAAGGCAAAGATGCAGACCTAGACAGGAGCTGCATGCTGATATGCATGCTATCAGAATGATTTATGCAAATTATGCATATTATTCCCAAAGGAATTCCTCCTCAAACTGCCAGGATAAATTGCCGGAAATTAGCCATAAAATCTGTCGTGCTAGGAGCAAAAGGTGAAGGCCACTGGGAAAGCAAGGACGTTCAGCTTCTGGAATCTTCCAGGTTATGATGGTGGCTGTTATTTTCCCTGGATGCTGGGGGAAATATGGTTTTCTTCGGATTCCTATTATTTTTCCTTTGAAATTTTTCCAGCAAATGCTGACTCACATTTTATTTACAACCAGCATAAAAGAAATTAAGTGTTAAGCTATCTCAGAAAGCACTACTACAATTACTTTACTATTAACTGCCTAAGTGGTTAGTAAATGCCAAAGCCTGGCTTTGAAGGCATCACTGTTCCGAAGGTTGGTGAAATAACCCACCAGTGGTGTACTTTAACTGGGATACGGTTTTAATTTCCAGTGTGTATGCCCCAACACAGACTTCCTCGCTTGCAGATCATTCTTGCCTACGAAGTTCCTAATTAATGACTTTCTGCCCCAGTACAGCGCTGTTGTCTCCTGCCTGTGAAATGCCCCGAGCTTTGGGGGCTGGGCCACAGCTGTCTCATCCCTCCCCTCCTCACTCCCATTCAGAGCCCCCATTGGCTCCTTCCTGGTGCTCAATGGATCTGATTGGGAAAGGATTTCCCTGTCAATCACAGCTATTGTTTATACGCTTTAATGGCAAATTGAGAGCACTTTTCAAGAGCAGTCACATTTTAATAAAATGTTGCTTGCTTGTTTCTTTCAGAAAGCACCATTCTTGAGGTCTTGCGACTATGCTCCTTTTCTGGCATCTTTCGCGTCGTTCAAGAGGACTTGACACTACACTTAGAGAGCCAGGACTGCTGTCTGCGAAAGGGAGACTTTGTAGGCATCTTTCCTCCCGTCTTACATTATGACCCTGAAATCTTTGAAGCTCCAGAGGTAAATAAACATCACGCCGGTATTGCTCCCTCTTAGATACTGCACGCACATTCCTCTCCCTCGTGATCGCTCTTTCTCTTACCATCTTGTTCCAGAAAGAATTTGAGAGAGCTTAATGACTCCTGTTTTTCCTTCCAATGGGAACATTTTCCTATTTACTGAAAGGTTTCCTTAAGGATCTCTCTTTCAAAGGTTTCACGATCTATAAAGAGAAATACAGCGATGAGACCAAACTCCAGTTCCCTCAAATGAAAGGAACGTTGATACCTTGATGGACACTATTCACTTGAGGCCTAAATTAAGTTTTGCTTGGCAGAGAATTATTAAAACCCATGGAGGGCTAGCTATTGACAGGTGGCTTAGAGAATAAATAATGACTCTTCTGCTAAGTGTTTCCAGAGTGGGGTTGACTGTCCCAGAGTCAGATACCGTCCTTGCCAGAGTTAAGCTCATCTACTTTTTCACCTCTTACTAAAGGTATGTGCCCCTTCTTGATCAATTAGGATGGCATTATGAACTTGAGATTGTGAAGCTGCTGCTCACAGGTAAAGCTCTGAGGGTAATTGTGTCATCTCCTTGTATTTTTTTCTGAAGCTGGAGTTAATGAATATCAAAGACTGGAAATTAATCCACCTTGGCTCATCCCTTAATACCACTTCAGAGGTTCACCACCTGCATGCAAATTGAGCAGAGTCATCTTCTGCCTGTGCTTCTCAGGAAGTCACGTTGTTGCTGCAGTGGTTTTTGTGTATAAAATGCCATGTTTCAAAGGGGAACTTCTGTGCTCTTTTTGAGCAGTTTAGAGCTGAACCACTTTTAAACCCCGTTTCTAAGATGTTTTTCAGCCAGGCTGGATTAAAATCTTGTTGAATTTTGGAAATTAATAAGAAAAGGACAAACTTCAAATACAATGAGATAATTAGCATTTATTTCATCAGCAAAGGCAAAATTGTTTAAGTGAGGGGAGAATGTACATATGGTTTCTGTGTATTTCAGAAGAGACGTTATGTGAATAATGATAACAGATCAGAAGTAGCGTATTGGTGAGTGAATGAACATTTCTGCAGACAACAGGCTTCATCTCCACGTTTGTAAATATCAAAAAAAAAAGAAATTCCATACGGAACTAGGTGGTCAATAAGTAAAGCAAGTAAATAGCTAATATTTGAAAAATATTTTAAAATTTAAAAAATTTCATTTCTATCTACAATTTTTAATTTCTGCTTAGTATTTTTATGATGTGATTATCCTGCTAGTCACCAAGTTTATTATTCATGTCACAATAGTAAAATCAACATTAAAGTTATCAAAAAATAATCAATGTTTACCAAACACCACCGTTGGTAAGGTCTTAGGGATCCTCCTGTTCTCTACCCCCAACCCTGCCGCCACGATGGAAAAGACCATGAGTTAGACTTCTAGGAATTTAACTATCAAAGCTAAACATTTGAAAGTGTGTCGATTTATACTTTTCCTGTGGCATGCTAAATATCAATGCCCAAACTTTACATCATAAAGAGTAGTCGGATGGGTTTGCCTCATACTAAATCCGTGGGAAGAACAAAATTGCAGTATTGTGAACTCTGACTTAGCATCATTAGGGCAGCTCTAGCTTGAGTTGAAGAGCATTCTCTATTATTTACTAGACTTAACATTAGCCAGCTATGCCTGACTAATGTTCAAATCAACTAGCTAATTTTTGCTATTGTGTTGTTTCCTTGCAATGAGTTTCGGAATGCTGATAGTTATCGGCACAGAAAAAAAATGGTATCGTTCAGAACCAATTCTATATGATTTGGCAAGGCCTTTATGTAATCATTCATTCTATAAACATTTACTGAGCACTTACCACTCTCAGGCTTATGGATTGATTCCTTTTGTTCTTAATCACTTAGGATGGCAATAAGTAGATGGTATAGATGCTCGTGTAACAGATGCCCATCCCAAAACAATCATGCACTAACAGTAAGAAAAGAGAAGAAAGTTCTGGAAAATTCCATCCTTGGCCTTTGTCACGGACAGCACTATCCCAGGAGCTCATCCGAAGTTCATACTCCTCACTGCCTGACTTTTGTACCCTACAGATCTTGAATGAGAAGACCAGCCCTTAGATATAGAAAGTAGCCAATAGCTCTTAGGCTAAAATCATGAGGAAGACCAACTCCAGATATAAGTATAGTTATTCTCAGAGGACATGGAACCTGAGGTGCCTTCGTGGAACATTGGTTCCCCCCAACCCAATGAGGCATGGTTTCAGGATGTTCAAGCCCAAGAGACCCTAGAATATTTCATTCTAGAAACAGGTTATATCTTCCTTCACCCATCTCTCTATTGTTGAATGCCTCTCTTGTCCACCGAGAGACTCCAGGTGACTCCACAGTAATCCCCCTTAATCACCTCTTCTTTGTCCCTGATTCCCACCTCAGTCCTCAGAGAATCTGCCACTGCTCACTCTGTGGCCTGGGTGTACCTTTGTTATGCGGCATACCCCACGGTATTTTGCAATTACTTGTTTGCCTGTGTGTCCATATACTGTAAGTTCCAGGAGGGGAGAGACCTTGTCCTTACCTTCTCTGAATTCTCAGTGCCTGGCATGCAGGAGACCCATAGAAGGAAATAAATAGGAGGTGCTGAGATGGATGAATGTTCTGAAAGTGAACATATACTTCAGTTGAAACGTTAAATCACTAGATATCGCACATTCAGATGTGTACTGGGCCTAATTAGATCCAGTAGATGAGGTGGCTTGTGTGTAAATATAGCAATACTATCAGGAGTGGTGAGAACTCTGGTGAAAGGACAGCCCAGGAGGCATCTAAGGGAGACCACATGGCTACTTTGGAACCAACCCTCAGTCCTTAACAAGCATGTAGACCTGATGCGACCAAGTCATTTTTATTATTTTTTTTAAACTTCAGATTCCTGGGTGAAGCTTAGAATTTTTAAACGTTTGGAGAAATTAAGTTTAAAACGCAATGTAGGCTAAACAAAAAATGTTTGGGAACCTAATTGGGCCTGTAAGCTAGCAACACGTAAACTGTGTTAAGAAGTATTCTTTTCCTGAATATGGGTTCCTTAGCTTATTGTAATGTTAGCCAGTCGGGTGGCACGTGCTGATGTGGAAAAGAAAATTGGCACGTGAAATTAAAACAATGAGAGAGAGCAAAAGGAACCACCTGTTCCCAGTTCTCTTTTCTTCTTTCTTTATCGGTCTAAATGCTACCCAAGAAAATCTAGATGATCTCTTAATTAACTAGGAATGGATACTTTTTAAAAATTTTATGAAGGCTTCTTCAAATTTGTCAGTTGTCAGCCAGAATTCTAGCCACTGGCTCTCAAGTAATCAGTAAATGGTGATGATTACTTTTCTGCCAAAATGCAGCATCCAAAAATAGAGCTATGGAGAAGACCAGATCTATTGGTTGGTTTTTCTATGGAGGTGCTGAGGTATAAAGGGCTGGGCCATAGGGAAGAAACAGCCAACATTTAAGATGGTAACGCATTACCTTAACCATATAGCCTCCTAAAGTAAGGACACAGGGAAACAACAAAGTAATTACAAAGCCTTTGACGTACCCCCCAACCCCCCGCCAAGGTTCTGAAGACGAAAAGCCTTATTTCACCTCATGCAAGTCTGCCCAACCTACTTCTCGGAGGTGTAAGGATTATAAAGTGATAAATTTGAAAGCCCTTGAAAAAATTCTAAATCACTATAAAAATTGTTGTATCAACATTCTTTTGATTATTTGCACTATTATTAGAATATACTAGTCATGACAAATGTGGAAATACTCTCAATAATTTTTTGTCTGTCTCTCAAACTGGAATAGAGATTGTGCCATTTAGTACATTTCAAGGATACAAACATAAACTGAGCAACCACTGAGCAACCAAACTTCAATGCTGCACATACAGGAAGTGCTAAAAAGAAGCTGTTGAACTGAACTAAACATAAAATTTGGAGGACACAGATTAGAGTGGTACGCAGTGTTCCTCAGTCACTCATACCCAAAATTCTTCTCTATCCAGGAAATTGTATCGTCTACCCAATCTTTATTTCTAGTGCTAAATATTATACCATTTTCTATTTGTAAACATTTTCTATTTGAATATTCATCTACTCTTCATTCTCTCCATCTTTATTTATTCATTCAATATCTCTGTTTTCTTCAAAAGTTTGAAGATTGCTTTTAAAATACACTTTATTGTCATGTATTTATTCACTAATTCAACAGACATTTATGGAACCTCACTGTGCATAGCACTCTGGTGGGGCTTTGAAAATATGGAGATGAATAAGACAGTGTGACACCTCCCATCTCCTGGGATTTCTTGGCTTGCCATCTCCTGAGGGCTAGCTTCAGCCTGGTGACAGCACAGCTGCAGCCTTGCAGGCATCATATTCACATATAACCAGGTCTAGAGGAGGAAGAGTGATGGACCATTTTGTCGTGTTTTTCTTTCTTCACAAGAAGGGAACTTCTCCCAGATGGCCCCATACACTCCTCCCCTGTAGCACCGAGAGACGGGTTCATACACCCTCTCCTAAATCGGTGAGAGGCCAGAGCAATGGGATTACCACAATTGGTGCCTCGAGAGATCTCATGCAGAAGAAAGATGTTGAGGAACAACCACAACAGTCAGTAGAGGAGTGATGGGGAATTTCAGTGTCTCATGCTTTTCTCTTATGATTTCTCTGTTCTTCTCCATTGAATAATATTGCATTTAATTGACCCTTTTTAATCATGAAGCACCCAGCTGTTATGGTCACTGCAACATGACAAATCCTGTATTCAAGTTGTTCCAGATCAAAGATCAAAGCATCTTGAGCTTTCTAACTTTTTGTTCTATGTCACTGTGACCCCAGAATTTCTGGGGTGAGACTATTACACCCCTTCTTTTTTTCTAAAACCAGACTATATTCTTAGCAGCTGCCACAAGCCCATACTAAAATTGGCTCCTGCTTGGGTTCTCCATGTCCTGGCAACGGAAAACAAACTGAGAAGAAATTTTGACTCAAAAAGCTATTTATGCCCATATGTCCTTTGAGCTTAATGGTAGCCACAGAGCAGAAGAAGTTGGCCTTTTCCCTTCTTGTTTCATAATATAAACAACTAAATAGGAATTTCTATGATATTTACTGTGAGGAAATCGAATGGAAGGTGATGGAAAACTAGAGGAGTGACATTACTGGTTGACTAGATGTTTGGGGGTATTGAACATACACTAACTGAACATGGCAGGGCTGGGAGAGCACTTCGGCATTCTTTGTTGGTCACTGTGACTTCTCAGCTGCATATTCGTGTACACAAAGATGACAGTCTCTGGTTTATTTATGATATCAGCACACTATGAAGTCATAACCCAAGCTAAGTTTTCCTTTTGCATGTTCTGGCTTAAACCATAGGACTGACCACAGGGAGAGCTTTTCAGAATAGAAAACCATTTCGTGGCAAAATTGACATCAACTGGTTTGGCCTAGGGAAGGAGCTCTTGGGAAGAGCTCTCCTCAGATTGGTCAGTAAGAAGGAGGAAGCACCTGTACTGAACCCAGGCAAGCAGGCTTGGGCCCCAGTAATGGAAAAAGATTTACTGGGAGAGAGTACCGTATAGCCATCCTATCTCCAGTAACAAAGTGGATGTCCACAGAGAATGTCCTTATCCGTACTACAAGGATGGACAGATACTTTTAGGTTAGCACTGGTTAGATCCTACCCAGATACATCCCAGAACTATCTGTGGGAAAATATACTTGCACTCTGATGCAGATTAATTTTGCCATTATGATTTCATCAACTTGCAAGTTTAGGGGGTGGAATAGAAACCACACAAAATGTGTTCTCTAAGCTTGAATATTTATCAACATCAGTATCCTAGGTAATTGGGGATAAAACCAATACTTTTAAAGGAAATGATTTTGCTGACATGAATACTGGCATTGAGTGAGAAAATCAGATCATCTGTGACAGATTCAGGATTTATACGTGAACTGTAGGGTTTTCGCTGTAACCTAAATGCTTTCAGTCTGACCTGCTTCTTTGCCTTTGGCTTCATAGTTCATAGCAAAGCTGTGAGCTGAGCAGGTCTAACGCTAATGAGCCCTGCATACGGGAAAGACTTGGTCATTGTCATGCATGCCATGTGCGTTAATGTAATCGATGGTTTAATTCACCATGGGCTAAAATAAGGTCCTTCAGTGTCCTCTCAGAGACTCACACGAGAGTAAATTAAGATGGAGGACCCAACACCCTCCATAAACCAGTCCCATAATTTTCTGGAACAAGTACTATAACTTACTTGTGAAAACATCTCAGAAACCAAGAGAGTTAACCCAAAGAACACTCATTCTAAATAGAGCTGTCATAGGAGAAAGTCGATACAACATCAAAACACAAGCCAGACCGATTTTGTGGCTTAGTTCTTCTCTAGTGCCTAATGTGAATCTTATTATTTAATATCTATTTCATCCCAACACTAAATCCTAAACTCATCCTTCTCATCCCTCAGTAGCTGATGGGAAGGGATAGAGAAGGGCACACGAGGGATCCTTAGGTAGGCAGCCTCTGGGGCCAGTAGGATTCACTGTCCACTAACCATGGTAGCTCTGCAGGAGCCCTTCCCTCTACCCAGCATTGGTATTTCAAGTGCCCGTATGTGGAGACCCACCTTAGAGAACAAAAACAGAAATACTGCCTCTATACTTAGGAAACTCAGCGTAGGAGAGAAATGTGAAGAAAAGTCATATAGAAAAGTTTGAATTTGTTTGATATGGGAGAAGTAATTTTCTAATAACACTGGGGTTTTTTGAAAGTTCATACATGATTTGCACTTAGTTAAGTTTTACTTCCTGGTATTTTCTGGGTTAAAAGAAGACTTTTAAGATGGGCAGGGAGGGGCTTCCCTGGTGGCGCAGTGGCTGAGGGTCCACCTGCCGATTCAGGGGACATGGGTTCGTGCCCTGGTCCGGGAAGATCCCACATGCCGCGGAGCAGCTGGGCCCGTGAGCCGTGGCCGCTGAGCCTGTGCGTCCGGAGCCTGTGCTCCGAAACGGGAGAGGCCACAACAGTGAGAGGCCCGCGTACTGCAAAAAAAAAAAAAAAAAAAAAAGATGGGCAGGGAGAGCGGGCAACTGTGTGAACCTGAACTCAAACTATTTCATGGAAATTTTTTATTTTAACACTCTGTTTTCTTCTTTACAGGAGTTTAGATTTGATCGTTTTACAGAAAGTGGTAAGAAGAAAACCGCCTTTTTTAAAAGAGGGAAAAAGTTGAAGTATTACCACATGCCATTTGGATTTGGAGTCAGCAAATGTCCAGGCCGATTTTTGGCAATAGTTGAGATAAAGCAATTGTTGGTTGTATTTTTAACTTATTTTGATTCAGAAATAATTGATGATAAGCCCTTAGAACTAAACTACAACCGCTTTTTGTTTGGTATTCAGTATCCAGACTCTGATGTTTTATTTAGGTACAAAGTAAAATCTTAAAGAAGCTAAAAGGAAAGAAAAGAAATCTATCAAAGCTAACCTAAATGTCCTTAGCTCATCTATTTGTTTTTAATTTCTTCAAATGTAATTGCTTTGTTTGTTTTAAAAGTGCCAATTTCTGTTTGATCTGAGATCAGTCCAGTCTGTACTTCGTCACAAAACCCATCAAAAAAAAGAAAGAAAGAAAGAAACAGCATGGTGGCATGAAATTGACATCAAAATCAACATAATGATTAACTTAAAGTAGCTTTTTTTAAGTTTCTTCATACATATTGTGATTTGCAGTGTCATAGTAAATGTGCCGTGACAGCAATAGACTTGACACTGTGGGATTTTTCTAAAGTCCCAAATTCTTCTCTAATATGTAAGAATACACTTTATGTACTAATGGAAATTTGTGCTGGAAATGGACACAGTCTAACAAATTCCAAGTTCTCAGAGAAGAAGGAAATTAAATTTCCATGAGATACACTGGATGAAAATGTTCCCTTCAAGTATAATATCAAGAATAGCTATATTGCCAGGGTACGTTTGCATTAAATGAGTTTTGCAGTAGATTAAATGCTTCCACTTCACTTCAATATTTTATCATCCATAAATGTTCTTTATTACTTTGTATACTGTGGCTCAATAGAACAGAATTTCTGGTTATATAAGGCCACTCATGTTCAAGTGAGACACTGAGAAGATTTATCAGTGTAGGAACACACAAAAACCTATTATATATTCAGCAATTGCCCTAGACATTAGTATTAGGTTTATTGTAGGAGTAAATATTGAGCTCAGTACAGGACTGATTGTAGCATTTGACTCCAGTGTAAACTATAAGGGTTATGCCAGTGTTGGAATTAACTTTCCTAAATGCTTCCATTTACACCAACTGAGAAACTAGATAGCAGTATTTGTTCCTGACGCCTCACCTCTTGGACTTGGAGTTTATTTGAATTACAACATTATGTAATACAGTATAATTCCATGTGCCACAATGCAGCATAGTGTGGAGGATTCAAAGATTGCTAGTATCAGATTGCCAAGTGATTGTCTGGCATCCTACCTAACTGCTGATGCCGTATATAAACAGGTAAAGCAGGTCATTAAACCCAGTTAATTCATGCTGCATTCTTTGGAACTTCTGATATTTCGGAAATGTGCTATTGTTTTTGAAAAGGAAATTGATTTTAAAAATAACAGTATAAAATACTTAACCATACTTAGTAACTAAATAGATTTTCTAGCATTTATTTTCTCCTTCCTGAAGTCCATACTCTTTTAAGTGCACCTTAGTGAAGGTCTACCAGTCTAAACTTTGTTTTTGCCAGATTGAAGATGTTTTCCTTTTTGCCCTCATTCCTGAAAGGTGATTTCGCTAGATGCACAAGTCTAGATTGACAGTGATTTCCTCACAGGGCTTTGAGGATATCTCATGTTCTGAAAAGGTTAGCCTTTATTCGGTTTAATTATTCAGTAGGTAGTCTGCCTCTCGGACAGCTTTAACGTGCTCTCCTTGTCTTTGATGTTCTTAGTTTCTGTTTATCATGCTTGCATGTCATGGTGTCTTTCATGAAGTGTAGAATGTTCACAGTCATTATCTCTTTGAATATTTCCTCCCTCAGGCTCCTGTATCTCTCTCTGTACTCCATGTTTGATCTTTTTGCCTCGTATTTTCCCCCTCTAATTTACATTCTCGGTAATTTCTTTTGATCTTTAGATTTCTCTGCCAGTTTATTCTACTCTTTAACCCGTCCATCGAGTTTGTTTCTTCCTTCTTTTTATTTTAACCTCAGGTTCATAGGACTGGGTGATCACATGCCTTATGCCCCTTAGTTCATGGTACACAATTATAATTGGCCCAAACAAGGCCCTCTGGCTTTATTTACTCGTTCTATTTTATCGCTAATGGCCACCATTATACCCCTCCCCATCAGAGGCAAATAGTCTGTGTTTGGTGTGTATCTTTTTATTTGTATGTGTTTTTATAAAACATATGTTATTATCTTGGGTGCATATGTGTTTAATTTTCATAAATGTATATTCTATAAATCATTATTCTTCTTAATGTTTAACTACACTCTATATTTTTAAAGATATATCCATATTACTTTATGTATATTTAATCTGTGCTTCTAACTGCTGTATAGTAACCCATAATGTGCACCCACCATGTTTTAATGCTCTATTTACCCAGTGTTGGAAACTGTGTTGGTGGGACAGTTAATTTGGGGGGAGAGGCCAAAGGAGAACCCAGACGTCCTCCCACTACTGTGTGCTCCACCCTCCACCCTGAGCTGCAAACCCTGTCGTCAGCAGCCTCACCACACGCGCACATACACACGCGCGCTCGCACACACGTGTGCGCACCCACTCACACACGTGTGCGCAGATGCGTGCACACACGCACGCACAGACGCGCGCATACACACACGCGCGCACACATGGATGCGTGCGCACGCCCACATGCACGCACGCACACACTGACGCGTGCGCACGCCCACATGCACGCACGCACATACACGCATGCACACACGCGTGCCCACACACACACAGGCCGTGTCAGCCTTCATTCTCTGAGATGTTCCAGACTTGTGTTCCATTCTGTACCTGGTATTTCCACATCATCAGTGTTTTGTGGGTCTGATTCTGTAGTTTGCTTTTCTTTTAACTCTGCCTCAGGATGGCTTGTTTACTGGGCCCATGTTCCTTGGAATTTTATCTCTGGACATTTTTTTAAGACCTGAGTTTAAAGTTCACACCTCCAGAGAGAATTTGCGTTTGCTTTTGTCTGACTGCTGGTGTTACTATCAACTTGAGATCACTTTACATTTTCAACTTGAGTATTTTGAAAGGGGATTGGGAACAACATAGATAGTGTGGGTTCTAGCCCTAAATCAGCCAGACTGCAACCCTATGAGTAGGAATAGACAGGAGAGACTTTCTGGGGTTTTTTTCCCCTTTACCCAAAGTCAAGGCTGAGACAGGCAAGTACACCCACAGTCCTTCTCTGTGGAGCAAGGTTTCTTTCTAAGTCACTTACTGAGGGTGCTGTCTCTGCAAATTCTTGGCTTTGTGTACAGGTCTCGGATTACACGCGCGCACGCACACACACACACACACACACACACACACACACACACACGCCCCGCTTGGGCCCCAAGCTTTATCTTCTGCCTGCCACAAAGTACAGCCCATTCGTTTTGTACTAGGACATGTATTCCACCATGTTGCCTGAAGTGGAAGCTTCCAGATTCTTAAATTCATCTTAGTAGTACACTTTTGTGCTGCTACCGCAGAGAGAGCACAGAAAAGTATTCCATTCTAATTTCTGCTTAATTTATAGCGAAAGGAATTTAGAGTAGAAGTATTATGTAAAATATTACATAAAAGCAATGGGTGGTAGAACCAAAACAAGAGAGTCTTGTGACAGGCTTAAATCTGGTAATTAAAGATTGTTTATAAATAGAATAAATGTCGTGGAGAAATAAGTTAAAAGACATGGATTCTAGCTATGACATAACTGGTTTGTTTTCATCAACAAGTCACTTTGCCTCTCAGTGCTTCAGTTTCCATATTTGCAAAATAAAAATATTAAGGCCTTTTGACACCAGGGTTCATCATGAGGATTGAACACAGTAAGATGTGCAAACTTACTTTGAAAAGTGTAATGCAATATACAAACTTAAAGTGTAAAAGAGATACTTTGACAATGTTGTGCCTTTTAAAAACTGTTCTTTTGTATTTGTTAAAGGGAACCATTTTTTGTCATTAGTTAATTCATTATTCATTTATTCAGTCAAACACTTATTGAGCATTCCCTCTATCCAAGATGTGATGCTATGCACTGGATTACCCTTCTTCAAGAACACATAATTTATTAGAGAACACAATACATACCCAACTAATTTATTATAAATGTAGTTGTAATAAATCATCTCCTTAAAACTATTTTAAAATTCTGATTCATCACCAGTTCTAACGAAACTTCCATCACTCATTCCAAATTAGTGTTCTCTAATGAGAAATTACTGTGAGCCTAATTACATACAATAAAACATATACATCAAGTATTGTGATTATATGTTACAAATAATGAAAACCAAATACAATCATTGAGGCTTCAGAATTGTTTAAAAGCTGTATTTTACATATAGTAAAAACTCATCTTTTCATTTTTAAGCCTCTTCTAAATTTCAAATGAAAGAAAATGAATAACTAAAAATATTATTTTATATCAATGACCAACAGTAATGAAGCATTCAGTTAGCAAACACAAAATGCTCTGAAGATATTCAGGGAAAAGCTATTTATCACTGAGTAAGGAATGCTGATAAGCAACCTATTCGGGGACTTTTATCTGCCTTGTTTGGCTTTCGTGGCGTACTTCATTACATTTTCTCCATTTTCTCATTAACTTTTGGGTCACAAGTGTGAGGCAGAGGAGCTTCTATACTCAAAATTTGCATGATTCTGTTTATTTTCTCATGAAAAATAATTTGGGTAGCATATCCTGTAAGCTACTTCTTCAAATTTAACCGTGGAATCTTAAAAACAATTTCAAAGATCAAAGCACAAAAACTATCTAGACTTTGATCTTCGTATAAAACAATGTCAATAATTATAAAACAAGAATTATAGGCCCTGAGAATGTACACTGCTTTAATCTATTAAATTTGCCAATATTGCAAACCATTATGTACTTGAACTGCATTATTAGGTATTCATATTCACATACTCAATTAGGAAAAAGTTAGCAAGCCAAGATTAAGTTCCCTGTAGCATTATTTTAAATTACAGTGGATGATCACATAAAGCTCTCTAATGTTTCTCTAAAGCAATTATTACTTAGTCTACTTCAGATTGTTAATCTAAATCAGTGATCATTGACGATGGAACTTTTTTGCTTAAATGTTTACTTTGTTTATAATGTCTTGAGTAAGATAAATTTAATTCGTGAAAATCTCTCCTGAACAATTTTTTAAAGGAGGTAATTTGGCAATACTTACATTTTAAAATATTTTTTAAGCAGAGGAGTGCTGTATATTAAAAAAAAAATTGTCCTGAATGTTTGTTTAATACTCTTTTGATTTTAAAATGGTATATAGGTGGATTTATGAGGAAGCAAATTATCTTGAAAAGTCCTTAGGTAAGAAATGCAAGTGCTTTGTAACTCAATTAATGCTGTTTTTTAAATTTACAACAAGCCAATAAATTAACTTTTAAAGCACAGGTGAATGACTGTGTCCCCTTATTTCCCTACTAGGAGCATGTTGGGTGACAGAAGATTTGATTACAAATAGTAAATTATTTGGGAAATAATTTTGCTGTCTGAAGATCCCCAAATCCCCATCTCCCCCCGACACATACATATACATGTATTTTTATTTTCTCATACTTTCGATAAAAGTACATTAATTGTTATATTCAGAATATGTTTCAATGTATTTTCACTTATTTATGTGGGAAATAAAAACAGATCCAAGTAATACCAGTGACTAATGAGTTTTGAAACAAGTTTATTTTAACCAGGCTGACCTTGCTAGGCTGCAGTTCTTAATAATAGCTATTATTCTGTGGAGAGATGTATAAGAACAACAAGAATGGGAGAGAGATTCCATTTCTTTCCACATAAGAGAGATGTGGTCTTCGTCTTCTGCAGATCACTTTACCACAGATAATGAATGAGGCTGAGTAATATTTGGACACTATTCTGTGTATTCATAGAGCTGAAATGCAAGCTGTAAATAAAACATAACACAGAACATGCTGTTGGTGAAGTGTGGCTTCTTCAGTAACTGTACA